TTAATTAAAGGAAGGTTTTCATAAAATGGTATTTGTCCCTCATCTAATGATGGATGTAAAACTTGACCCCTAAACCTAAGTCTCTATATAAAATGGTCCTTAACCTATGGTTATCAACAATCTAGTCCCTATGCTTAGGTTAATGTCAAGTAGGAATTTTCGGGTTATTACAAACGTTGTGTTCTTCGTTGATCCATGGGAAATAGACGATTTCACAAGACTAGAAGTGCTGCATGGTAGCAGATTCTACGAAGAGATTTGGCAACAACAACTAAGGATTGGTTAATGGGAGCACGGGATCCAGGGAGAGTTGTATGGAGTGCAGTCGAGTGTTCAGATAGTATGAGTCGTCTAGTCTGATAGACTGTAAGTTGTTCAAATCATTTATAGTGAATTGTTAACTGGTAAATTGCCCGAAGTTTTTTCCAATTGAGTTTTCCGTGATCATCTTACTGTTGATTTACTACAAAGCAACAACAAATAACTAACTAGATATACTGAGGTATTCAAACTTAGAACTAAAATGACTTGCATGTTTAATCATCTAGAGAAGAATTAAAAAGTGACTTGTTGCTGTTTAATTCGTAAAATATTTTTAATTCCGCACAATATACCTATTCACCCCCTCTAGATATTGTTAGGATCGAATTGCGCAACTTTCAATATACTAAAGAAGAATGTTACAAGGAGGAAAAATGCATCAAAATTCAATTCTTGGTCAAAGTTATTGCATTAACCATTTAAGCGCATTAGCAGTAAAAGAACCACGTACGGTACACATAATATGCTGATCCTAGCCTCTAATGTCCATATACATTTAAATGATTTAATATCAAGCACAACATACAAAAACTTCTACCTGAATAAAAGAAGTTTCCGATTTTCTAAATGTAGGCAAAATGACAAAATTCTATTAAACCTTTGGTCATGCTTCCACTTGACCAGCAATGCAAGCCTATATAGTGAATCATCATACCATTACCACAATGAATCCTCCAATGGGTATTATTTATTTAATCACTCTTTTGGTACGTGTGTAGTTTAAAGCTGAAGTGAAATTTCAACCGTTTCTTTCCTACGGTACACAGTTGGTTGAGAAAATAACATTTACATTAACCATTTTAAAATAAATTTTTAAATAATTTGAAATCAACGGTCTGAATTTTATCAACACACTTTATAACCCAACTTTTATAACTCAATTTTGTGCAAATAGCTTTTCATAGACTAGACTAACAATTAAAATATAATTGTGATCCAAACCATTACAGTCAAGCTGGGTGCAGAGGCGGATACAAGGGGGGCTGGGCTGTAGGCCCCCCTCATGGCCCAAATTTTTTTTTTTTTAATAAGGGAGTTTCTTTTTTTTAAAAACAATTTTTCATGAGTAAAAAAAAATATATATTTTTTTTCGTGTATTAGTCCGGTTTGAAATTTTGTAACCCGGTCTTAGATCCAATTCTAGATCCGCCCCTGGCTGGGTGTACAGAAAATAATTGGCAAGAAAACCAACAGAATACAAACATAGGTGGGGCCCGACATTT